CCGACGACCTGATGTTCGACCTGAGCTTGAATTTCTCCCAAAGCGCGCACAGCGCCAGCGAGCAGCAGCTGGGGGGCGGCGCGGCGGCGGGGAACCTGTCCCTGTCCCTGGTGGATAAAGATTTGGATTCGTTCAGCGAGGGCAGCCTGGGGTCCCACTTCGAGTTCCCCGACTACTGCACGCCCGAGCTGAGCGAGATGATCGCCGGCGACTGGCTGGAGGCGAACTTCTCCGACCTGGTGTTCACGTATTGAGAGCGGCGCCCCGCTTCTCGCGCTTTCTCTCGCGGGTGCAGAGCGGGGTCCTTGGGAGGAAGTCGTGGTGGTGGTGATGATGATGATGATGATGATGATGATGATGATGAGGTGGTGTCGGTGGTGGTAGTGGTGGTGGGGGTGGAGGGGAGAGAAGATGCTGATGTCTATATGATATGGTGACACAAAGAAATCGGAAAAGATGAAATTTTTGGTGGAGTTCAAGTGAAATGAGTAGTTTTTAAATATTTTTCCTGTCTTTTTTTTTTTTTTTTGTCCCCCTCCCTTCCTTTATGGTGTCTCAAGGTAGTTGCATACCTAGTCTGGAGTTGTGATCCCCACCCCCCCCAATGTGTTTTTGTAATGATTTCTTTTTCCTGAAATTCGTGATTGCAACAAAGGCGGAGGGGGCGGGGCGGGGGAGGGGAGGAGGACCCGCCCCGGAAGGCGCGGTTGGAAGCTTGTTGGTCTTTGAAGTCTGGAAGACGTCTGCAGAGGGCCCTTTTGGCAGCACAACTGTTACGCTAGGGAGTTGGTTGGAGATTTTTTTTTTTTTTTCCTTAAGAGATTTTTAAAGAACTGGTGATTTTTTTTTTTTTTTTAAAGCAAACACTAAAACGAAAAAGGGACCATGGCAACTTTTTTATTTTATTTTATTTTTTTTGGAGGGAGAAAACTGATGTCTTCTATGCATCCGATTCTTAACAAAACTGCAGGGAGCTTGAAATAAAAATGCAGACTGTACAAACGCTTACAAAAAAAAAACTGTGAACTGACTTAAGATCAGAGTTTACTTTTCAGATCAAATTGTTTATGGTTTTACAAATGTGATTTCTACTTGCCAACTTTTTTTTTGTAACTTGTTCCCTTATACCTCCTTGATTGAATACCAGACAGCCTAGACCTCATTACAAAAGGTATTGAAAAACATTTTTGATACATAACAGACCTCAGTCTTTTTTAAAAATTAATATATTTTCAGGCGTATTTTTGTACAGTGAAAAGGGAACATTCTTGCTGTGTTTTTCCAGTAAGACTTTCAGGCACTTCTTCCCTTTCGATTTCTTTTTTTCCTGTTTTTTTTAGCATGCAAGTATGTTGGTACGTTATGTCCTGGTTTCAAAGGATTAAAATTTTAAAATAATCCTTGCATCTAAAGGCCTTGTGGTTAAAGAAAAAAAGCAAACTTTTTTTTTGTACAGCTATAGTAGAGATTTGTTCAATATTTGTAGGTAAAGATTTATTGAAAATGGTGATATAGACCTCAGAGCTGTTATCTTAGTTGAAAGATTGTATATGTACTGTACTATAGTAGGACTTTATGTATCTCATACGCTGTGATGTGGATGGAGCCCCAGATGGAAGATTTAAAACTGGATTCTCGATTTTTAGCAAAAAAAGAAAAAAAGGCACATAGTTTAAAAAGTTTCTCATTTTGTGCAATATAATCTAAATAAAGAACAGACCATCTGCATATTTTGTAGCAAATGGTGGCAAAGCAGACTGAATGCACTGTCGACATCATTGCCTGTTTTTTTTTTTTCTTTTTTTGTGCTGGAAGTCTGTATCTTGACAATTTTAATAAATCAGCTGGAACTGATAGAAACTCGCATCGCCATTAGTCTCTATGGAAGTCAAAGTGGGAGTCCCGTTGTCGCAGCGCATTCAGTGACGAGGCTGTCGTGTGCGCGGGTGGGAGTGGCCGAAGAGCATTCTACGTGCAGAGGAGTCAGGCTGTGGAGTGCTCCGCCGGCAGGCCGATTTCTCGTTCCTCTTCCTAGGATGGCGAGTTATTAAAAACCGAGAGGATTCTTTCTGCGTTCCTTTCCTCCCCGCCCCCACTTCCTTTCTCACCTCCTCCTCCGCCCCCGCCCTCTCCCGCACCCATCCTGGCGGGCGGGCAGCGACGCGCTCCCCACGAGCCCAGTGCCAGCGCGCAGGGTGTCCTGCGCTCACCAGGGGTGTGCGTTCTCTGCTGGGCTGCGTGTCGCGGAGACGCGCCTTGGGCCGCTAGGGCCCAGGGCGCTCGGATCCTCGCCGCTCTCCCTTAGGGGGGTGGGGACGGCCGTTTTCCGTTTTGAATTTTTTTGTTGTTGTTGGAGGCTGCATCGCTCTCCGCGTGTGCGCAGTGGTAGATGCTGGTGGGAAGCGCGGTCCCAGTTCTTGACCTCGAGCGGTGACGGGGGCAGGGGAAAGGCTTGGGGTGACCGTCTCTTCCCGGTACCCTTGGGCCGGCGGGGCGTGGTGCGGCCGCGGCTGCGAGCCGGCGGGAGGCTGGGGAAGGAGGGCGCGGCGGGAGGAGCATGGCGCGGCCACTGCAATCTGGACCCGCGGCCTCTAGGGCATCTGTGCGGGCCGAGCCGCCGCTGAGGGGGTTGGGGCAGCGAGAGCGCCTGGGTGGCGGCCCTGCACCCAAGGGGTAGAGCCCCGCCGCCCCGGGATTCGCGTGTGGCTCTCCACGCCCGGAAACCGCGTGTGCCTGGGCGCACCGCGCCTCGGGACCTGGAGACACACAGGGCCCCCCGCGCTGGTGCCCCGCGGCCCGCGGGTCGAGGAGGGGAGTCGCCAGGCTGCGGGGCGGGGGGAAGAAAGCAAACCGGGAG